GAGGGTGCACGCGACTGGCAGGTGGAAAGCGTGGATGACACCAGCAGTGGCGAGGGGGAGAAGGTATGCCTGGCCAGGGCGCGCCGAGGCGGATGCTGAGAGTACGACCTAGGTATGCTCTGCTGGTGACATCCTAGCGTCGGCAGTGGTCGGCTCTCTGTGCTTTGCAGGCCTACTGGACCCATGATGGCCGCCCAGCAGCAGCGCCCGCCCCATTGACGTTTGCCCGGCTCGCCCCGCGCCCCCGCCGGCCCATCCCCCTGCCGCCAGCTCTCCGTGAGTTCTCCCAGCGACGGGTCAAAGAACTTCACGCCGTGAAGTTCGTGGCCGCGGCCTCACTCACCTGGGTACTTCTCCTGGCCCCACAGGCACGCGAGGTTGTACACCCCCTCGAAGCAGTGCGCCGCCATCAGGGCGCTCGCGGCAACGCCATAGAATGAGAAGCGGAACGCCTGCGCGCCGCCGGGGCGGCCGCGGCGCGTGAAGTGGCGCACGTCGCAGACGCGGCAGGCCGCCCACGCCAGGCTGTTGGCCCTGCGGAGGGGTGGTGCGGACGACGCTGAGGAGCGTGCGCGCGCATGCGTGCATGCATGCGCGTGTGTATGTGTGCGCGTGTGCGTGTGTGTGTGTGAATGCCTGTGTGCACGGGCATGTGTGCGTCCATGCATTTGCGTGGTTTTGTGCTCGTGTGCATGTGTTTGTGTGAGCAGATTTTCGTGTGCCAGACGCAGCGCACTCGGCAGGGCCCCCGCGCCATATTGCGAGCCCTGTGAGTGAGGACAAGTGCGGCAGCTCGGACGGGGGCTCGCCGCGGGTGGAGCGCCGGTCAAACGTGCAACTGCAGGTCAAACTAGCATGCCAGCAGCAGGGGCATGGAGGAATAACATCAAAACTTCCCAAGATCTCGCGCGAGCATCACCCTCCTCGATCCACCCGCACTCCAGGGTTACTGCTAGTAGTCCTGCCACGGCTGGCACTAGGCCACAGTTGCAGCGACGCGCGCTACCGCTACCAACAACAGTGCAAATCAGAGGTCTCCCTCGTCGATCCTCAACATCAGACAACGCAAGCTATGGCATAAAAATGTCATGGTTTTTGCCGCATAAATCATGACTCGTCGTGACTAAGTCTAGCAGGGCAAAATGGTGCAGATGGAAGGCGTGCCTCACCTGAGAGGTGGGACAAATATAACACAGCACACACCACCAAATTTCTCCGCCCCCACATTGAGACAAGGTCCCGGCCAGCCGGCTCACCAGGCGGGGCTTGTGGACCGAGTGACGAGCTCAACCGTGAAAACGCCGCCCTTGTCGCCGCCGCAGCCCCCGCCGCCGCCGGCCTCCGCCAGCACATCTTCGCGCGCAGGATCCCGCAAAGGCACGCGGGAAGGGGCGGGGGCGTGTGGTTCAGAGGTTGCGGGTGCAAGGGCCCCGTGCATGCATTTCAGGGTTTTGTGATTTTTGGGGCGACAATGCGGGACGCCTTTGCGTGGCGCGTGTTGAAAAACTTTGGTCAAACGCGGCCCCCGTACGTCACCAGGTCACCTGTGCGTTGCTGCCGGATTCGCCAGCCGGCTGTCAGACCAGATAAACTGCAGCCAAAACAAAAGGCCCCCCGCAGACGCCCCTTGAATGAAAAAAATTCCGTGAGTCAAGGCCGCGATTGGATTGCAAAAAAGGCATCTGTCCAGCTTTCCCCACCTCAAAAAACACACGCGCCAGGCAGAGAGCCGAGTCTCCACCCACCCGCCTCCTTTATGTTGAACGCCTGCAGCTCCCGCGCCGCGCGCCGCATCGCGTGCGCCGCCTCGCTCGGCGGCGTGTCGGGGTGCCTGACGGCGGGGCGGGGGTTGGGTGCGATGGAAGCGGGGCGGGCGCTCGTGGGGCCGCGTGCGCCGCTAGTGTCGTGGCGGGGAGAGGGGAACGGGCGTGCGTATGTGCAGTTTTGCGCCCACAGGGCAGCGTCTCGAGCTCGCATGCACGGCGCGGCGTTGGGATGGGCAGCAGGGCTGAAGAGAGTTTGAAACATTGTGTTGTGCCCATGAGGAGTTTTTGAGGGGGCAGCACTGAGAACCGCACTGTTGACAGGCCAGATCAAAGCCAGGCCAATTCACACGCGTGATTTGGCGATCTGCAGATCTGCTGATCTGGAGATCTGGCATGCCCTCACATCGCCAGCGCCAGCATCTTCTGTATCCTCTGCAGCACCGCCGGCGGCACGTGTGCCGTCTTGCCGCCGCCTGCCCCTGCCGCCTCAGCTCTCTCATCCCCCTCGACCACTCTGGCAGGCTTGCGCGCCTCTTTGGCCCTGCCCCGCCCGCGCCCCCGCCCACGCCCGCGACCGCCGCCGTCGGCCCCGCCGCCGTCGCCGCCGCCGCTGCCGCCGCGGCCGGATGTGCCGCCGCTCCGGCGGCGGCCGCGAGCGAGTTTGGGGCCGGCGGCCCCAGCGCCGTCCCCATCCTCTTCTCCCTTATTGGTAGTGTCGCTGGTCAAGCCGTCGCCGCCGCTGCCGCCGCTCCTCCTGTAGTTCCCGCCGCCCCCGCCGCCGCGCTTGCGCGCGCCGCCCCTGACAGCACCCTCCGAGCGGCGGCGCTTGGCGGCGCACCCGCTGTCGGCGCCGCTCCAATCCTCTTCGTCCTCGTCATCGCTGCTGCCCCCACTGTCACTGCTGCTACTGCTGGTCTTTCTGCCGCTCGAGTCGCC